GGACCATATTTTTGTTTCATTGCTGCCAGCCAGCAGTTGAGGCTAATTTCCTTTTAAATTAATCGAGCGTCAAAAGTTGCTTGTTGCAGTCTTTTTCTTAAAGCTGGATGTATAAACTCTTGCACAAGAATTAAGTTTGAAAAATATTACTCGCAAACGTAACTTAATACTATTAAAACTGGGACCAGCTGTGACGTCAAGTAGCTAGTCGGTCGTGGCGGCTGCAATGCGGAGCATGTAAACATGTAACATCAGTCTTGATTTTGTCGTTAAAACGCTTCTATAGTGTATTATGAAAAAAAGAAAATCTTTGAAAATGACAGACGCAGGTTTTGTAAGAGGACAATCTGACATTTTACCACTAGTGGATATGTTTATGGTGACATCTTACATTAAAAACACCGAAAGTCTTACTCTTGCTGAAGTTCACGGTGTTAAAGCTAACAGGTAGTTCTATAGACAAAATAGTCAATAGTTTTACTTATATAAATCGATAAAATGTTCGGTTGGGGTGTTAATGGCTCTAACTTTCAAAATTCAAACAGTACCTATTGAGCAAAATGTAAGTGATTCAACAAAAAAATTGTTTCTTGAACGTATTGTTTTCATGCTGGTAAAATCTAAAATACATCATTAAAAGTGATTTGGCATTACTATAATGCAGCCAGGAAACAAACAAAATACAAATTCAAAATATCTATCCGTTATACAATAAACAAAATCAAATATGTTTTATATACTTACATTAAAATGATCTTCACATACATGGGCAGTAGTCTTCTCAGAAATATCCTTGTGAGCTCTTCTGCATGCCTTTAGCCATTTTAAACGCCGGCTTTTATCTCGTGGTATACGAATAAATAGCTTATCTGGCGTTTTAAAAGTTGTACTAGGACACAGTGGCACTATACAGCAGTTGTAATATTGTTTTTGTGTTGTTTCCATTATTAATAAAGCACAGCAGAAATTCTGAACAGTCAAACACCCAGACAATTCAACGACAAGCCGTATTCCCGTGTTGCCTTTCGATCGAACGAACTAGCGCTATGACGTCACGACAATTCCTGCGCGTTTAGTGTCGTTTTAAATGAATAGCCTGCGGTCACAAATTTAATTGTTTATTGCAAATGAAATATTGCGATTCGAGGGCTGATATTTGGTATGCGCAATTTTTATACATATGCAAATATATTAAAGAAGTAAAAAACATGTTCAAGTTCCCAGTTGTCGCCGTTCGAGAAATAAACATACGCGCGTATCAGTTTATAAACCCGGCGTTGCTTGAGGTTCGTCGTTTCCATGCCGTTGGAAATTAACCTAATTTTATTTCGCCGGCGACGTCGTTCGTGCAGTTGGCGATTTAACCAATGAGAGAAAGAGTTCAAATCACGATAGTGAATGAGTGACATTTGTCAAAACGAGGCCGTGTTTTGTTTATGTTTCTGTCCAGATGGCAGAACAAGTTATTTTCGTTGAGGATCCAGACTTTAGCAGCTTGTTAATAGAGCGTATTATGGGAGTTTGTATAATTTAGGGCACAGAAACTGTAAAAATGGGTGTCCTTGATTTGCGACCGTGCTAAATACATCTGGTATGATGGTGAAACAGAAATTCAAGCATGTTGCTAAAGACACTTTTCCTTCAATAGCAAATATGTAGCTAAAATGAACGTAAAAGCAAGTAGCTTGCGTCTGGATGAAGACAATATCGACATTTTGATATTAAAACGATTTAAAAAAGTTGGATTAGTGTGTGCATTATTGGATCAACACAACAGACAACATAACCAACATTAAACCACATGAGCATAAAATCTGTCAATCTGACTAATCGTCGGGAACGGCGAACTGCACAATATAAATCATGAAAACGCGAACAACAGCAACGGCAACTGCACGAACTATGAACGGAACGAGCAGAGTTTATATATCCAACTTAAACGTTTCAGTATCGATGACTGAATGAATAAAAAAACGTGGAAAACGATATTAAATCAATCTAAACCAATGTATATCATGTATATAAACCTTTCGCATGTAAAACGTTGACCTAGTCAGAGTATATATATTTGTCTTGGTCTGTGTGCTGAACAGAAGCAGACGCGGACATCGAAGGTAATAATAATCTGACCTAAAGGTATCTGCTTGCACGTATCTTTGATTGAAAACATTTCACAAAAAATATAGTTGGCGCTTTTGCGTTTATCCGTTGAATTCAAAAGTGGTTTTGCATGTGTTATTCTAGGTTAGTGAAACAGAAGTTAGTAGTCGATTTTCCGCACAAACCGCTTTTCTTTGAGGGTGAGTGAGACGACTCTTTGAGTTTGAATTTGTGAATAACCAATGTGAATATTATTTGGTAGTGTATGCTAAAACCAATGATATTTCACTTCGATGGTGCCATTAAAAAAAACACGAAATGAAGCTCATTTGCATGTGAGAAATTGCGATTTTAGCCTTTACATAGTTAGTAGATTCCCATCCAATTTTTCGTGTAATTCAGACCCCGACAATTCTGCTTCAACTAAGCACTTTAGCATGCCAATTTCGCTCTTCGGTTTCAAGTTGCAGCTAATTTACTGATTTTTACAGCTTTATTGAGGCAAAACGACATAGAACAGGCGCTGCTATTGGAGGAAAAAATGTCGCTGCAACTGAAGCTGTTGGCTGCCTCCGGTTTGGAGCCTCCATCACCGCCTGCGTACAGGCATTTGGTCAGCGAGAGCGCCGATACTGGCCAGATGTGGAAAGAAGTGCTGACTGCGGTGCAGGTAACTTTTATTTTATAAAAAAACATGGAGTTTCATAAAAAAACACTCTGTGTAACGCAAATAATTTTAATGAATGGCCACTATTGATGCCAATATCGCATAAAAATAATTTCGAAGCCGTAATCTTCCACCACCCATTCCGGTAAACAGGGTGATTCAAAATTGGCCTCGTTCTTGTGGAGGGGTTGTCTGGCGGTGTTTGAGGAGTGCAGAAAAATTAGTAAAAAAATTAATTGTTATTAAAAACTGAGAAATTTGCAAAAAACTATATTAGAAAAACGGCAACAATGTTTTTCAAGATAATCTCCCTAATTAACATACCTGTTGCTTAGTAATTATTTAAAACTCCGGTAACCATGGATAAATAGAGAGTGGCAATAAGATAGACAAGGATAAACGGTAAATTCAACAGGAATCGTTGAATGACGGAACCTAT